ACAACGTACCGGTCACGTTGCTGGAAAAAATGGCCCAACGATTTTCTGACCGATAATTCCAGCCCAGATCATCAGCTTGGAGCTATGCTGAATACTTGACGCGGTGTATCTGCGTGGATTTAAACTAGGCCAGAAATGTTGTTTGTCCGTTCCATGCAAATGGGAAACGGACTCATCCGTGAACATTACGGAGTGAATGCACATGTAATCCAAAAACGAACGGCAAAATGTATTCCGTTTATCCGGATAGTTTGGATACAATACCTGAATCCGGAGTGTACGAAACCGACAAAGATTGTGTTCTTTCAATGAAAGGTAAATCCATGAAGTTGGATTGTGTACCTACTGACCCCAGTAAGTTGAGTTCCGGTCTTTTAGCCAGGTAGATCCACTTATGCTGCATAAATTCTGCTTGTTCCACTCTGCATCTTTGCGTCTCATTGTTAGGACAAACTGCACACACCTCACAGGCGGATGAATGCGTACCTTGCTGCGACGCTGGTACGTGTTTGATCCAAAGCACCTCAAACCGATAACAATCGTTCCCAGGAGTTGAAGTTGTGGGTGAGATCATGAGAATCTCTGGGCGGTATGCCGCTCACCCACAAAATTAGACAAAATGTTTCACGCAAATGACAACATTGGGCACTAATTGCTTGGTGAGTGGGGTTGCAAATTCATACTGGGATCCCAGCTGCGAGCAGGTTAATCGCTGTTTTTAATAGAAAAACGAGAACAACCCGGTAATCTGTCAGTAGAAACCTTAAAATTTAACATAAAGTGAGGTCGATTGCGCAATCTCAGATTGCTCACTGTTACCGAACAGATACATGGGGGTTAACTGCATTCTCCTATGGATACTTTTTTGGTGCCATTAATAGTATGTATGACAATGTAGCCCTGATAAAACTATGGTAAATTCCGCATGCTTCATTCCGAAATTGATCGAGAGACTTGGCCAGGCAGCTACGTGTCGTCTTCGTAGATGGGGGCCTCGTACTAGTCCAAACCAATGGTTGGACTCTATCGGACGTGACGCATTGTCGGAGTCAGTGTTGCCCCTGGATTCGTTCTCTTTCCTGTAGCTGTACATACTTCAATGTGATTAGCTTCACGCACCTCGTGCTTGCTTTCATTCTGCTAATCCCATATTTAAGTCTAACCGCATTTACTTATCATCCTTCATTTTGCCACACTGGCGACGCGAGTCGTGGCAACTGCATCCACAGCAGTTTGGTGCCCGGATCACCATTTACCAACTGCACTAAACTGAACTGAAACAACCGGGTAACCTTTAAGTATCGTAGATTATTTAGGAAAGAGAAATTCCAGATAGAACTTGGCTCACTTAACAGGAAAGCAAGATACTACCAAGTCGTTATTATTCCTTGTGTGAAAGGTCTAGTTGGAAGTGATGCTTTTTTCGTACAGTGTTTCTTTGGAAGCTAATTTTCAGTCTACCGGCCTGCTCACCGTAACTGCGTTTTCACATTACCTTGGATACAAATATGGGCACATGGAAAACTTATTTCTCACGTGTACGTCAGTCTGTCTACTTTAATGGAAACATAGCTGCGATGAAATAGCAGCAGTTGTGCATCACGTGTACGTTCCTCGGAGAACGTGATGTCCATTTTTGTACCACAGTAGACCCTGTACGTAACGGTAACTTTAGTGCTACGGCTAAACATCGGTCAGTACAGAGGCCACAGGCATCCAGTTTTCCGCGAAATATTGTCTTCAAACACTGACTAGAATTTATCGATCGTTCAAGTATCCGTAATCTGTGCCTCATCTCGTGAAGCGCTGTGTAAGTTACGGTACGGAGACGCCGCAATTGGTGCGTAGTACATCGTGTGAGATCCGATTGTATCTCCGGACTGCGGTTAGATTTCCTTGAGGTTTTCTCAGGGCGCACAATGTGCGTCCGTGATAATCGGTAGATACATCCCGGCCACACCGTGGGAAGGGCACGTGGGACGGCCAGTACACTAACTACGACAGCTTTGTGCCACTGAAGTTGCGACGGAACTTAATTCTTAACCTAGTCAGTCAAGCGGAAAGAATCTGCTCGTAGGATATACTTTTAGAGGAACTACAGTGAATATGCACGATGTTGCAGGAAAATGGCTATCCAGATCGATTTATAAAAGTGTACATGGAGCAGAAGAACACGCCGTTAGCTTTAACAGCTAACAAAAAAGCAATTTTCATGCAATTTCCGTACAAAGGAGAAATGGTAGCAGAAATTCTTAACCATTGTCTATCGCAGCAGCTTAGATTTAAGTGCTCGGCAGCAAAGTTACAAGCATACTTCATCAGCACACCGATGGTGAAGTTCAGTCTCAAGGATAATAGGTCTGTCCGTGACAACTCAATGTGTATCTATTTATTCACCTGTTCCTGTGGAATATATATATATATATATATATATATATATATATATATATATATATATATATATATATATATATTTATTCACAGTCTGTTAACAGACATTGTGCCATCAGAACCATGGCAGAAGAAAAAGGTGAAGAAGATGGGGACAGTAATGCGATTAAAAAATATGGGAAACGAATTTTTTTTGGTTTTACACACGCCATTTTGTATTTTTTGTTTTGTTTTGTGAGTTTTTGTGTGTATCAAAGGGATGGTGAAATTGCGGAACAACATTGCCGCCACTGATGTCTGTTGCGGGCCATGACGTCCAATGTTTCCAACCACTGCAATCCAGCATCTCGTGGTCCCCAACCTGGAAGGCGGACTGGTCCGATTGCTGCCAAACTTGAGGTCGCCTTCTTCATACTCCTTCTCCACGTCATCGGCTGTCCACCGCGGCACTTTTTCCAATCGCTCCCTGGGAGTGCAAATAGCGCTCGACGTGGAAGGCGATGGGCTGGCATGCGCAGAACATGCCCGAGCCAGCGCATGCGATGTCGGAGAATAACGTCTTGAAGACTGGCACTATTCGCCCCAAGCACGCGGTCTCTCAAATCTGCGTTGCTTACGTGGTGTTGCCACCACACCCTAGCAATCCTTCGTAGACAGCGATTATCAAAGACTGATAGCCGCTTCATATCTTCCGAGCGAATAGGCCAAGTCTCACAGCCGTACAAGAGTACTGCACGGACGGAAGCATTGTACACCCTGCCCTTGAGCTTGAGAGTGACATCACGACGACGCCATAGATGTCTCAGTTTGAGGAATGCAAGGCGGGCCTTTGCAATCCGTTGTGAGACTTCATCTCCAACACTGCCACCAGCCGTGATGCAACTCCCTAGGTAAGTGAAGCAAGGGACTTCCTGTGGAGTAGGATCTATTGATAGTACGACGAGATATCTATTCGAGAGAGGGAAAGAACAACGTCTCGCATGGCTAACGGCTATAAATTCAGAAGAGTATACGACTCTTCCATAGCTGCCTATCTCGCAGACAAAAGGCACAACTCCAAACCAGTAGACGCATTCAAAATGATGTACAAGGCCCCTGATACTCGATCGAGATATATGCTCAATCGGATACTAGAAGCTGCTGAACATATCGTAATTCCGCTGCACGAACCGAGTCTGCGTTCAGAAGCGATTCATTCACGGCCTCACGGCTACTCTGGTCCGACCGAGCCGTGACCATTACTCAGTTGGATCGCATGCAGGCCGAGACATTGACCTGATCAACATCGATGGTTGACTTGTTCTAAATATTGGTTTTGCCCCTTTTGAACGACCTCAATAGTCTATCTGATTGGGTTGAGTGAGATATAATTGTACTAAACTGACGAAGGATTATCGAAAACATATGTTCGCTAACACTGACTTTTGATACTGGAAACATAACCGCAAATGATGGAGAATATACTAGCTAGCTGCCTTAAGGAAGGCTCAGACACATGCATACAGCACGTTCGGTGAATGTGGGGGAACAAATAGACCTTTATGTAACTTGAAACAATTAGATCCCTTTAGTAACTTGAATAACGCCGTAAGAAGATGAACACTGGCAGATGTCAACATTCCGTGTTGTCTCTTCAGTGCCGGCTTCATTTAACTGTCAAAACATAAAACCGGCAAGTCCGTAGAAGGTATCAGCAATACGCCGGTACGCAGTACTGACGCTTCGCTGCACAGCAACTACCACCAGTCGCACGTGGGCTACGGATATGCAGGGGTAGCCCGCACCAGTGCACTTGGAACCGTTGACATTTCGGCAGGCGTATCATTCCTTCGATCGAACAAATTGACGTTAACCGTATGGAGTCCTCTCCCGTAGGTGGACGGCTTGGCCGTGAATATGCTGTAAGAAATGAGCTGGTCTGTAACTGAGTCATTAAAGCTAGTAGGCTCAGAGAGACCAAGATTTGGAGCGCATAACCGCAACCTGTGCATTGGTGTTTGAAACAAAAAGTGTTGCAATTACAGAGGTTCAGTAACCACAACAAATATCGGAGGCCGCGGGGCGGAAGATTAGAGGTAGTTGGGTACTTGAGGTGCATTCAAAACGATGTTGAGGCCAAAGAATAATAATATGGTCGCTCTCATAAATGAGTCTTTGCTTCTGAGTGACAGCAGCTCCGTCTGAAAGAATGAAATCATATCACTAAAGTCTCTTATGAATATTCGGTCCGTAGCCTTTAGGAGCACAACCCAGCCTTGTGATCCGAAAGCGCGGGTTTGAGCCTGAGTAGGGACCGGGCGACCCTCGAATTATCCTCAACCCACGTGCGGCCAATGGTGGTTGCGCGGCAGCGAAGCGTCAGTATTGCGTACCGGCGTACTGCTGATGCCCTTCTTCTAAATGACAAGAACGCAAGGTCCACATACTCTGCCGGTGTTCCCGTTGCCTGGTACACCTAGTGAGCGGCTACAATGTGAGCATACCACGATCATTGATTGGCTAGACTTTGCACGCCGGACGCGTGACTACTGGGAGCGGCACAGAGTTGAGACTATTCGTGTGTGTGCCATCAAGGGGAATTGCTGTGGGTTTGCCACAGAAAAACTTACTTCAGTTAATCGATAAGCGTCCTCAGCGGTACACTCAGATTTCGAGGTAGGATTACTTAGGGCGAAGATGACGGGGCGATCCGAGTTGATCGCCATTTGTTTCAGAATCGCTGGGGTGAATAGCCCACCTTGTCCGGATGCACCTACAGAAAAGGAGGATATGTGGGAAAAAGTTGAGGAAGGGAAAGGCTTACCAAATCAAGGTAACAGAGATGAATCTAGCACAATAGAAAAACAGCGATACACAGGACCAAAATAGAACAAATTACCATTACAAATAAAGGAGGATAAACGCGGACATATTCACCGGTGACCAAGTGTCGCACGCCCCCAACGAATGCTGTAGTAGGCACTTGTTGACATAAACCATCCCAATCATGATGAGTATAGCAGCCCTCGACGAACAGCACCGGAATACTGACACAAAGGTGACAGATCCCATATCAGAGGGTTCGGTCCACTGATATTTAGGCGGTTGGGGAAACGTTCACCGTGCAAAGTGACTACATTAACAGTAAGTCTCGAACCAAACTCAACGACAGTCACATAAGGGAAATTAGTAATCAAGTTGAGTTCCAAAGGGGTTGAAATGCAAGTGAAAGTTAAAAAAAGAAATATTAAAACAACGATCTATTTGTGACTGCCGCATGGGGGGGGGCAAGAGGTCAAAAGATGATGATAAGATATAGAATGCGACAAGGGAATACAACGGGTGGTCAGTTTGGGTGAGTCCAACCCATCGGGAATGCGGGAGAGAGCAAAATGGCAGAACTCACACTAGTATTGAGTACGAAGATAAAAGGGCACACTATAAAATGAAGGCTCTGGGTGGTAGGAGCGTCACAATGAAAGATTAGTGAGTAATATTAAGATAAGGAACGCTGGGGCGCCAACCACTGGGCTCGGAGCAATGAGAAACAAGCCCCTCCAATCCACGGCAGAGCGAATAGATATGCGATGGGAGGGGTATGTATGGTCGATTTCTGAACTCATGAAGCACTCTGAAGGTGTAGGCTTTAATAAACAGTGGAGGTTGCTTGAAGAGGTGCCAGGGAAGAGTCCTTATGTGCGAACTGAGCTGAGAAGCACTACGTGCCATAACCCCCCGGCGAAAACACCCAATGCGTGGTATATTGATCGAATTCGATGGTGCAGGCTAGGCCATGTTCTTCGCATATCCACGAGCTGACTAGTTCTGTTTACTAATCTTAGAGGGACGAGTCAATCAAATCTGATTTCGATGGAACGCTGTTTGAGCTAAATGTGCAAATATACCACATTTGAATGTGATTTAAGCTGGGATTTAGTACAGATCTACGTTGATTCACTAGCTAAGTTCAGCTGAAGATGTGAACATGTTCGGATTTCATTGTATTGCATCGCATCTTATACTTATTTGTCCTAATAAAATACCATTGTCTACTGCGAAAGACATACTCCGCTTCCGGCTCGGCTCATGAACGCACTATCGTATCGGAAGGAAGCAGTCGGGGGTGATACAACAGCCGATACTATGCCCGACCAATTGAAAGTACAACGTGGCCTGATGACAATGTGGCGGATATACATGAAACGAATGAAGAAGAAATGGTTCAACTGCACGCCGGCATCTCATGTGGACGCTTTGCCGCTACGCGGCAGCCAGCAATCGTGTGTGCAGGTTGGGATTATTGCGAGAGGCTGCAAATATGCAGTTAGCGACTTGTGGATCACAAGTTGGACGCCACAACTACTCGATCACCGGTCGGCATGGAACAAGTAGCTGAAACACTGAGCTGGGCCCTACTCCTTTTTGCAGGCCAGGGGGATATGGAGATAGGCCACATCGGTGGTATAAAAGCATGTTTAGCTTAACTCACTCTATATCGGTACGTGGCATTCATGCAGTCGGTCAGTGACCAATTTGGTTCATGCATACAATTTCAGTGTTCACCAAACCGCTTGTTCGAGCAACCGCATCTTTTCCCATCGCTAACTTTTATCACCTGCTTCGCTGGACCGTGTCTCACCTCGCTGAGAATATACCTATGGTGATCACTATGGTAATTTGATTCACTGCATTTCAGCAATCAGATCACAGTTCGTTGATCAAAACAAGTGTCGAATTGGGCTGAAAATATGTACATGTCTATTGAAAGAAAGTAGAAATGAGGTTTTCTTATCGCAAGCACACAACCCCGGCACACTATCCAATAATAGCCGGAAACCTATAAAGTTTACGTGAGGGTTGAGTCGCAGCGTTCGTATATGTGAACCACTACATTGGGCTCTAATACACGATATGGGAGGTTAAAGGGTCAAATAGGAACAAGGAAGACGAGTCACGCCGCTGTAGAGAGCCACAATGATTGTGCGAAAACTGGACTATTAGTAAATAAAGCCCACTACATAATCAGTAGCCAGGTGGTGGTGGTGGTAGATGCATGAAGCAAAATGTATCACGAGAGATTGGCTGTGTGCAGTGTATGTATTTTGTGTTAAGAAGCTAGCTCACCGATGAGGACGGTTGGCCTGTGCAGTCGAACAATTTCTTCCAAATCTGTGCACGCTTCCACATCAATTCTTGCGAACGGGGAATTAAGCTCCGTCAGATTACCCTCGGGTCGGTCCTAGTGGAAGATAGATGGAAAACTGTATGGGTGAGCAAGAAGGGAGGGACCTTTAAAAAGGATGGTTCTTTGGTCGGGAGAGACTGGATGTTCACTAAGCGAGAGGGTCAGATGGTGGTTACAGACAAAATCCTCATATAGTGTGGCTGTCAAGCGCATTCGTGCAAAAATAAAATCATGAAAATATCAAATGTCGTGTGCACTAACAAAAAGTGTGCAGACAATAAGGCATACGTAAGTTGATCATCCAAGGGGGCAGACCAAAGTGGTCAACACACAGAAGTTTAGATCCATAAGGCTTGCACGGTGAATGTTCGAGCAATGAAAAAAAACCCCGGTCAACTTGGGGAGTTTTATTGTATTACGAACCTAGAGACTGCAGATGGAACGAGTTTCATCAAATATAGGGAACTCTGCTGTTAACTGCGTGCCAACAGCATTTGATATCCAATCTGTGAGATAGTAAGATACCATGAACAACAGTGCCAGGACGGCCGGTTTCAGAGGGATGAGACATTAATTGCATTGGATGAACGAAAAGACAGGAAAGCAAGTACCCCTGAAGCGAATCTTTTCTGACGGACATGCGCCCGATTTGTCTCACCGATGTCAATCTCTCAGACATCCCTTGGACGACGTTATGGGACAATGTTCGAGTTGCACTACTTGACACTTGTAATGTCTAGTCAGGATAGATCTTACATACAAGGATGAACATCTGCGCAATATATATTCTGTCAGTATGAACATGATAAAGAATACTAAGTCATGAATACACTAACGAAGGGTAAAATAGAGAATATAACAAGCGTCAATTGAAAAAACGATTAGGTAGTATATGGATGAAATTCGATGGGACGATAAATAAGCGCGAAAAGAGGGAGAGCAAGGAATCGAGATATGACGAAGCATGGGAATATAAAACTAAGTTGTGCGCACGTAAAAGAAGTAGAGGGAGTCTACAACATGCCATAAAGTGAGAATAAAGGGAATGAAAAATGGATACATGCATCAAGATGCATGGAAACAATAAAATCACATGGAGAATCAGATTGAAGGTAAATCGCAGTGGCTTTCACGTCAGATAGTTCTCTACGCGCCAGTAAAAGTACCAGACAGTCGTTTCGCTCTACCAAGACTCGTCAGTGGTGTGTATAAGGAGAACAGCTATCAGACATTCATCTTTTGCGAACAAGCTTAATAGCCATTCTTTATTCTTCCCATTTGCTACTTCTTGACTGTTGTTTAAACGCTCTACTGGGTTAGCCCCATTGGTCCACACACGTCATTTTTAATGGACGCTCATCATCGTGTCCTCTTCAGCAGTGCCATTTGCAAGAGCACATTCCATTGGTGTTTCTCCGCAGCAATTTCCTACTTGGTTATGTTAAAAGCATATTTAGTTGTCACACAATTATTGTACTAGTTTTTAATTTTTGGTCTGCACTTCTTATTCTCATTTGTTTTGTGACATTTGTTTAAACGCTACATTTAGTTATTCTGATTGGCCAGTGCCCGTCACTGTAAATGCATGTTCGCTTTACGCTTGGGGTCCAATGATGCTATTTTTAAGGACATATGCGATTCGCTCTTGAGTACACGGTTGTTTATTCGCCCGTTGCATTTGACGTTTTTCCTCCTGTTGCCTGGCCCAAGTGTAATTTAGTAGCTCCCCATTATTTTACCTTCAAAACTATATAAGCAAATGTGATTTCATGTATACAAGTCTCTTTCTGGCTGGTCTTTGAACTTCTACTTGCGATCGTGGGGTGAAGGCGTCACTGGCGACACAACAGACTTTCTGGCGACGGAGGTTCCGGTAAACACGTCGATTTCGTTCGAGAAAACGCAGATGCTTCTTCGACAGCAACAACTGGAGTTCGAAAAATCTCAACGACAGTTGATCGAGTGGCTATCTCAGAAGCTGAACATCCAGAGCGAATCCCAGACGACAACAACACGGCCATGTGTAGACGCCCTTGCGGCTTCAATCACAGAATTTGTTTTCGATGGATTGAACGGATTGACACTTGAAGCCTGGTTACTAAAGTATGAAGATATTTCTTGAGTGGAACGTGCAGACCAAGACGATGCCTAGAAAGTTCCTTTGTGGTTGAGGAAACTTGGCGCAGTCGAGCATGAACGCTACACAAATTTCGTGTTGCCGAAGATTGCAAGAGATTTCAGCTTCGATGGGACGGTGAAAACGCTGACGCAGATTTTCGGTGAGCAGGCCTCTTTGTTCAGTGTTCGGTACAATTATTGGAAGTTAGTCAAACGCGATGCCATTGATCTTGTTAACTATGCCGTGATTGTAAATCGCGAATGTGAACGATTCAAACTGTGTATGATGACACCTGATCAATTCAAGAATCTTATTTTCGTGTGCAGCCTCCAGCCCCACGCAGATGCCGATATTCGTACACGAATTCTCCACAAGCTCGAACAAGAACCACAATTGACGCTGCGAGAGATTACAACCGAATGTCAGCGACTGATTAATCTGAAGCACGACATAAAAAGGATTGAAACTGCGGATCACAGGACAAAACCACAGATTTGTCGCACAGCTATCCATGGTAAAGTGATGAACCGGAATCGGTCAACTCAGAAGCCCCGACCGCATGCTGGAATTGTGGCGCTTGACATTTTGTGAGAGACTGTATCTACAAAGGGCATCAATGTCACAAGTGCAAGCGGTTTGGTCATAAAGAAACCCACTGTCGAGTTGCGCACAACTTCAGACGTTCATTTCCCTCGAAACTGCGCACAAATAATGACTTCAAAAGGGCTAAGTTTCACGGACCGGCCACAAAGTTAATTCTCACTGCGTTTCGCACGGAATTCGCAAGCAAGAGAAAGTATTTAACAGTAAAAGTCAATGAGATTCCAGTCACATTGCAACGAGATATGGCGTCCGACATTACTATCATTTCGCGATCGACATGGAGGGAGCTTAGGAGACCGTCATTCAAGTGCACAACTCTGACTGATCAGAATGCATTCGGAGAACCGCTGAGATCGGATGGAGAGATTGAATGTGAGATCAGATTCAAGGAACTGCAACTCCGTGGCACGATCTACCTAGTCTTATGCACCGAGGTTAATCTTCTTGGAATCGATTGGATTGAGAACCTGAATTTGCTAAATGTACCACTGAATCGTGTCTGTGCTGAAAGGAATGTCACGGTGCACCATACAGCCATACCGGCTCCTCCGGGTCAAAGCATCTCTGAACAGCTTCAAACGAAGTATGCGCGTGTCTTCCAGTCGGAACTTGAACACTGTAAGAAAATGCAGGCAAAACTTACTCTGCTTCCGGATGCCAGACTAGTGTTTCGACTCAGGCATCCTGTCCTTTATGCTTCCCAAGCACTTGTTGAACAGGAGCTTGATCGATCGCAGCAGGTCGGAGTGATCGAGCGAGTCAATTTCTCACCGTGGGATGCGCATATATTTGTGATCAGGAAACCGAACGGTTCTATTCGTTTGTGTGTAGATTTTTCAACGGGCCTGAATGCCGCATTGAAACACCATTAGTATCCGCTTCCACTCCCTGAGGACATGTTCGCAAAGCTGAACGGAGGTAAGTATTTTGCTACTCTTGATCTTGCAGAGGCCTATTTGCAATTAGTAGTTGAACCCGAAAGTAGAAAGCTTCTAACAATCAACATGCATCACAGTCACTACCAGTACAACCGTTTTCCATTTGGAATCAAAACTGCACCGGCAATCTTTCAGCATTCGTGGATGCCATGCTGATGGGTGTAACTGCAGCGGCAGCCTACCTGGATGACATCATCATAATGGGTTCGACGCAAGATGAATTATTTCAACGATTGAATGACGTGCTGCAAAGAATCAAAGATTACGGTTTCCGATTACGAGCGGACAAGTGCAGATTTTTCCTGAAGTCAATTAAGTTTCTGGGTTTCGTGATTAACGAGAACGGCCGACGACCCGATCCCGAAAATATCGAGGTGATAGATCGGTTACCGGCGCCATCGGATGTCACTACTTTACGGGCATTCCTTGGGATGGTGAGTCACTATAGTGAATTTCTACCATGCATGCATCGCTTGCGTCATCCTCTAAACCATCTGCTGATGAAAGACGTCGAATGGAAATGGTCTACACAGTGTCAACAGTCGTTCGAGCAACTGAAATCTCTGCTGAAGTCAGACTTATTGCTTACGCATTATAATCCGAAGCTGGAAATCATCGTGGCCACGGATGCTTCAAGCTATGGGATTGATGCCGTCATTTCACATCATTTTCCAGATAGATCCGAAAAGGCTATAGCACATGTTGCACGAGCGCTGACGGCATACGAGAAGAATTATAGTCAGATTGAGAAAGAAACGTTGGTTATCATCTTTGCCGTGCAAAGGTTCCGTAAGATGGTATTTGGTCGACGGTTCACATTGGTGACTGATCACAAACCGCTTCTAGCAATCTTTGGATTCAAAAAGGGCATTCCGGCATATACGGCTAGTCGACTTCAGCGATGGGCAATTCTGCTCTTGGAATATGATTTCAGCATGCGATACTTGTCTACTGATTCTATAGGGCAAGCGGACGCCCTATCCAGATCAATCGATACCGGTAGGTATGAGTCGGAAGACGCAGTCTTTGCCTTCATCGCAGCCGAAACGGATGTAACCTACATGGTACATGACGCCGTGAGTAATTTACCGATCAATGGCCCAATGGTTAAGCAAGCTACTGAACAGGATGCATTGCTGCAAGACGGGGCTGGCCAAAGTAGTATCCGAAAGAAGCTTTGACACAGTTTTCCACACGACGCAACTCTTTGTCTGAAGTTGATTCCCGCCTGTTTTTTGCAGATCGTATAGTCAGTCCAAAAATACTCAGATCACGCATGTTACGGCAACTGCACAAGGGCCATCCAGGAATCGCTCGCATGAAGGCGCTTGCACGCAGCTACGTTTTTTGGCCCATGATGGATAGCCAAATTGAAGACACTGGCCGATCGTGCT